AAAAAAATATATCATTTGAAGGACACAGCCTTGGAGGTGTCAGAGGTTGATATGACGGACCGGTTCAGAGTGTTTTATTAAGATGGCCGGTCATTTCTGTGGGAGGGAGAAGAAAGTCATCGATCAACCTGCACTTATTGAACGGACAGCACTCCTCCTTTGGGGATAATTGAATCCAACAATTGAAAATGAATAGAAATACATATCAGCAACTCATTTACCGACAGAAACAAAGCCAGACTCGGCTGAGAGGCTCGGCTCAAGCTGCGCTCAAATGTATGAAGAGTTTCCAAACAGCAGCTGGTTGATGGTAAGTCAAACTGGGTGTACGTACTTTGATGTCTGAGCTTCCAAAGGGGCGTGGGAATATTCTCCACAGGCACGAGGCGGAGCTGATCCACGGGGAATATCACTAGGTTGCTTAATTAAACCTTTCTATTTATGATAGCGGCCTCACCTCTCTGGATTCACCGAGCAGCGGCACACGAAACAAGCTCGGTTTCCCAGGGGGAACAACAGAAAAAAGGAGGGATTCATTACACAGTGCAGGCATCAGGAAATACCCAGCTCCTCTCTGCCTATTGTATTATTCAGTGATGTAAAACCTGGGGGGGTTATGAGGGCATTACACTAAGATTACTAAGATTAAAAAAACTTTGACGCAGATTAGCAAATTGCCAGATCTCACACAGCTGTGTCCAAGCAAGGAGGAAAGAGGAAACAAGAAAGAGGGAAACAGAAATGAAATCAGGACATATGAAGGTCACTGAGCACCTGCGTGGTTTAAAAGCGAGTAATCCACATCACACGGACACAGTACTGGTTGGCTGTACCACACACACCAAAATAAGTAATATCTAGTTATCTTTGGCTCCATGGGTGCAAGTCTATTCAAGGTGACAAGATCACAGACAGGATGACATGATCAGGGAAGGATGTGTCAGACAGACTGGAAGAGAGATGGAAAACACCGCTCTCATAACACACAGTCAGCACTTCAGACGCTTTACCAGACAGTCCAGCTGTTTGTCGCTCTGGCCCGGGTAGAAAAAGATGCAACCTTAGCTGAAACCATACCCAGAAAGAAGCAGTTGTTTCATTGATTGCTCAAGTATTTGGGAGGGGAGTCATTTAAATCCAGCCCTAAGTTGAACCTTTTTTGTTTGTTTTGTAGCTACGTATACTGGAAGTAAAAGTGACAATTAGTTTTTTTAAAAATCACATTATCATGAATATTTTTTTCCCAATTTAGAGGACTTTACACATTGCAAGATTTCTTCATATAAACTATCACTTCCTTTGTTCATCCACACTCCTTTCAGACTTTCTGCCAGACATTCAGCACTCCTGCCTCAAACACTTTGCAAATGACTTGCAACTAACATTTTCATGAATCTATTAATCTGCCTTTCACTTTCTATTGATTGCTTTGTCAATTTCCAGAGTCAAAGAGTCTTTTGTCAGTCCAAAACCCAAAGATAATCATTGTATTATGCAGAATGCTGTGACAAACTGCAAATATTCACCTTCAGGAGCCTGGAACAATCACATGTTGGCATTTTTGCCTGAAGAATTACTCAAACAATTCATCGACTTTCAAGGTAGTTGATTTATTTCTTGTTGATTGAGGAATCAGTGAATTGAGTTTCTGTTTGAGCTCTACAAATGACTGAACTGTAATATATTTCTGCTGTAATATTCACTGTCATTTAAAATGCTGCATCTCCACTGCCCTGTAAATAAGAGATCAGTCAAAGAGGGCTGTGTATTGGCAAGAACCTGGCAATACAATACGTGTCACGATACAGGGTTACAATTCAATACATTGGGATGTATTGCAATACTGTAAGCAAGGCGATATATTTTTCTGATTTCAGGAAAACGATCATAGTATAAAGGACACACCACCATACGTGGGGTTTTTTCTGTGATGGCCGTGCATTAGCTATTTCGGTCAGACGTCGAACTGCTTAGCTGTCCTTGTGTTCTAGCTTGAGTTATAATACAGATGAATTCCAGTCTTTTGAAATGCGGTTTTCATGTGTTTTCCTGGACAGCTGTGTCCATGGCGGACCTCTCGAGCTTTTTATCTCTACGTCAAGCTCACTTAGGCACCTAATCTGCACTAATACTCTCCGAATTAAGGAGGAGCACGGGGAGAGGGGCCGGGGTAGAGTCCATTAGCTCTGTCAGACCAGAGTTGAAACTGAGTGCTACATTTAATGGAAAGTCATAGTACTTAATTATTCACCTGGAATAATTTATTGTCAACTTTGGATTCTATTTCAACACAGCATATTTGGATATTTTGGACTCCTGTCATACTAGGCCTGGTTAGATTTGGTATTAAGTTACACAGTGCATGCAGTACATTTGAAACTTAAACCCAGAAGTAAGCACTGACATGCCTCACATACACAAGCTTTTGTCAGAAACAGTAAAAATAGCATATTTCTACAAGTCCATGGATGAGTCAAGTTAACTGACGGGGGTTGTTATTGAAGAGCAGGTATCTGCACATTGTGTAAACATGGATTCAGTCATATCGCTACCTTTCAGTGTAAAGAAAAGCCTTCCACTTTCCATCAGAAAGAGCTTTACATTTGTACAAGAACATAGCTACAGTACAAGGAGCTCTCAGAAACACTGGTTGAAAAGCATTTCTCGTCTGCACACAGTGTGTGTGTGTGTGTGTGTGTGCATGTAGCACTGTGGAGAGGAAGCTAAATAGGTGACAGGCTTCAGCTGACAGTGACTGTCACATTTCTGAAAAGAAAACTCCTTTGCAGTTCTTTGTTAAAGTTCTCAGTTAGAAAACACGACTTTTTTAGGTTGTCAAGAAGTTTTTCATTTAGCGATGTAGAGCTAAACTTATTCCACTTGGGACCAAACTTTGTTGTCTTTGCTGCTTAAGCACAGTGCAGAATACATTATCTAGAGATGAGCCAAATCAAATATGTATTGAAGTTTACATTAGCAATCCTCTACTGTTGTTTCCCTACAAGTAGCTTCAAATGATACTACAATAACTGTGATCCCTGTAGGGAAAATGTCTGGTTTTGCCCCCTGCACTGAGAGGTCAGGGTCAGCTACCAACAGAGCAGCAGCCCGGAGCTGGTTGGGATTCACAGTGTTGCTCCTGGACCCTTCAGAAGGGCAGATGTTTGTGAAGGAGGCTTTCTAATTGAAGATTTATTTTCATACTTATTGTTTGTCACCATCATACATGATAATAAGTATAAATAAATAAAAATAAATGATCACATAAATAAGCTGAACATGGTTTTACAATGTTTGTGCCTACATCGATGTATCTGATAGAAGAAAATCAATAAAGTCTGAGCATGAGCATCAAACTTAAACTCTCCACTCCACTTCCTGAGGGTACATCTCTTATTGTCACGTAGGTATGACCTACTTTTGACCTCCATGCAGTGTTATTACCGTCAGCAGTGGCTAAAAACAAGCTGTCGTCTTGTCATGATCTCCAGAAAGACCGTGGGCTAATCAGCTTACCCTGTCTGCTTTGGCAGGTGACCCTAGACACTGCTGTGTATCCAGATGACAGTTGGTCGAGGTCAGGTTATCCCCGTTTGAGCAGTTTATTTGAATCAGAGGCCCACGACCATTTCCACCACTAATTAGTAGCAGACTACTGCTACGTCTCCATTCAGTGCCCCTTTGTTATTCAAGTGTGTGGTTTTTTATTTTTATTTATTTGTCTCTTTCCGGACGGTTTTTCACTTTGTCATTGATTTGCGTCTCTTTGTCGTCATTTTCATTCTCTGTGGATTGAATTTACAACAAGCAATGTTATGAGTCACTTCATACAGAGGTTTTGGTTAGGGATGCACGATATGGTAAAAACA